GACAGGATTCACGACAGGACAACACACATTCTAATGTCACTTTGTTGGTCTTGAAGCAGCTTCAAAATCTTCTATAAGCTTTGGAAAATCAACGGATTGATGGCAAATATGTAAGACTATCAATTTGCAAAAATTTCCACGAACCTTGGTGGAGTTGAGTTTGAAAACAAGCTATGTTGAAAATGGGAAGCAATTTTTGGTTCCTTTATGGCAATGATGAATCTGAGGGTTCTAATCTTAGACGAATGTGATTGGTTGGACAGTAACTTTTTTATATCGATAGCCAAATATCCAAAGTTGGAAATACTTTCCATTATAAAATGTATGAGACTCCACTTCAATGTACTTCCATATATCAGCATTGCAAGACATGCCTGTGCAATTGAAAATCATTGACTGCAGATTTAACACCATAAGTATTGATGCGAGCGAGTAGATCATTAATGGCTCTATACTTTCAAAGCATGTTCTCTCATAAACTAGATACTGGTGACAAATTGATGACACTCCCTCAAGTGGAACAAGCCGATGAGGGGGCTGTGAGTATACGAAACGAGAGCTTATACCAATTTCAATTTTTAACTGGATCTCAATATTGAAGAACTGCCTCAAAGCCTTTTATATCAGGATCCATATCCAGAGTATTCTTGTTAATGGAAGAATGATGGTAAAAACAAAAACGAAGCTGATGAAGCTAAGGGACCATGGGCGGTAGACGATTATAATGATTTCGATATTCCTCCTACAAAATTTATTTGTCGCAAACACATGAAAGATTTTAATAAAACTTTCTCGCGGCAAGGAATTAGATCGACTTTCTTGCCTGACCCCTACTCAAATAACCAATAACGATTATAAGACTGCAGTTATTTTAGACTAAAAACCCATGCTAAAGGCGATCAACGTCCTTTTTGGAGTGTGTCTATTTTATAGGCTAAGAATTACTAGGTTGTTGGATAGTGGCCCATCAGAACCATCATTGGATCTTCTGGTTGGGAGATTCTCGAGCCCCTTTGTAGGCTATATCCTTCCCCAATAACCAATTGCCCGTGGCAAATGATCAAACTTGCTCCATTGATGGCATGGCTCGACTCCCTATTACCTTGAGAGACCGCGTCATTCTTTTGAATACATTGGTGGTTCCCTCTTCATCAAGCCAATAATATGGGATTGAAATTTGGACCCGTAACATCTAATTAAAATTTTTGTTCTGATGTCCAAATGCTGTTCATGGAAAAGCTCCAGAACTTTACGACGCAATTTCTCTGGAATTACTACCTTATTATCTAACAAGAGACAATATTGTTCCACTGAGAGCTCTTGCCTCTTTCTAAAATATGGTTTTAACTCGTCTTCAACAGAATTTGGATAACCTGATTTCGTAAAATCTAATATTTTCATTAAAATATAATCTTTGCCTGTCTCAAAAGCAATATTTCCTGAATTGAGAGGTATTTCATATACAATCCGAGATTTCAGTACTTCTACTTATGGGTTACTTAGAAAGACCATCGGCATTAGCAATTAATTTACGCTTCTTATTTATTCAATAGAATAATCATAGCCGGACAAAGTTATGGCTCATCTAGTAATTCTAGCAGCAGCTGATACCGGAATGCCTTTGTTCCTACCAAAAATTACTTAAAGAGGTTCATTATCTGTTATTGATATAAATTTTCAACCAAAAATATATTTATGAAATTTTTTCAACCCAAACATTATTGCCAATCCTCATGAACTAGTCCTCAGTTGTAGATAGTGTGCTAGATGCAAACATCATTGTTCTATCTTCGTTATTTATTCTTTGACTAAGAACTGCCCCTAACCCATAGCCACTACTGTCACATGTTAAGTAGAGTGGAAGTTTTGGGTCGCAGTGGACTAGACGTTATTAATTCTTTGCTAAATTCAAACGCTTTTTGACACTCTGAAGACCAATTTTTACTGAAATCAACTTCTGCTCATATATGGGTTTTAATTTGGTAGAAAGCATAGGAAAAAATTTACCATAATAAATGAGAAGTCCAAAATAAGCTTAAGATTTTAATTCAGTGAAGTTTAACGGAGTAGGAGCATCTTTAATGCATTTAATTTTTTCATCAGTTGGATGTATACCATTTTGATCTATGACATGTCCCAAAAATTCAACATGTCTTTCAAAGAATTTGCATATCTTTTCATTGACTTTTACATTGAATTTGTAAAGTTGTGTAAACACCTTGACTACATTTTTGTAACATTGTTCCAAGGATTCTCCAAATTCTCGACCCTGCCAATATGGTATCCATGGTGCTCTGGAAAATTCCTGGAGCAGCACTTAGGCACCTATTATAGGTGAACAGACCCAAATATGTATTTATTGTAATTCTCTGGATTTTTCACTAATTTGAAGATGTTGGTATGCTCCCTTTAGATCTAAAACATAAAAGAATTTTTGACCAATTCTTAATTCACCCGAATTCGTTTTGGGAACTTTAACAATGGGGCTTACCCAGTTACTATAACTTACTTTGGAAATAATTCCAGACTTTTCCATAAGGTCTATGAAAAATTGGCCTAGAACCCTCTTTAATCTTCAATTTAATTGAAAAATTCTTGATCACAGAATATAATAAAAAATATGACTTTTTATTATTTTGACTGTCATTGACTTGTACCTTGAAATGACTTATGTGCTATTGATGACTGACATGTGACCGATTGACAAAACTCAGATTCGACCACATTCGACCAATGAACTAGAGCTAAAAACTGGAATGCGCACACAGTGCCATATCTGCCAAAAAAATGAAGCCATGAAAGACAGATGCCACAACGGGGAATGTTGTCTTTTTCTGTTGCTCGCTGACATATGACGTTTTCGAATGTTATGTCATATTTTCCTTCACAGGTTTCATCAATTGGAATACGTGTTGGAAGCAATTTTCGCCATTTAACATAATGAGTGCGACAAAAACAGGTATCCCCTCCGCAGCAGCCGCACTAGGCTTCACGTTCGTCCTTATTTGTAAGCATTCCAGTTTTTGGTTATAGTTCATTGCATTCGACTGACTCATTTATGGACACATTCTGACTGGCTTGACTTAACTGACCTGAGGCGATGTCGCCCTAGATTTTCATCTGCTGGTTGGTAGGCGAATGGTTAACCATTTGGTACGTGAGTGACGTAGCTCAACAATCTCATCAGAATTCAGTGGGTAGGGCGTTTGCTACTTTTTGACTTTGACATGTTTATTTAGACATGAGACAGAAAGCTACCAAACCTCCACTACCCAGTCAAACCGCGGTATAGCATTTGATCCGAAATTGATTGGTACCTGTCTGACAGATCAAACTAGGGTACCAAACTGAAGCGAAATCGCCTCTAGACTGAAAATATTGTTTCAATTAAGACTTATAACATTACGCCAATTCCGACCTAAAAGTGGTTTGAACTCTCTAGCTCCATCAAGAACCATTATAGGTAAGAAATAACTTAAAGAAGACTCTAACGTCTATCTCACCAAGGATTTTGACTTTTTGACCTGTGACTACTTTTAAATTATATTCAACAGAAAATAACTGACATGAACTAAAAAGTTGTTTAAATGTAGCCACATGTATAACTGTCTTGCATGCACCAGTCTACCTCGAATTCTACTGGCTTACCTTCGACTATAATATTTACCCTTGAAGTATTTTCCGAAACCTTTTCTATTTTTGAAATAAATCATTTGTTGGTTGTGTCTTCTTTTACACCTGAAACATGGCTCCATTTCCCTTGAAAAGTTATTGGAATATGACTATGCTGCTGACTGATCTTTCTTCTCTGGCTTTACATTGTGACTAATGAATTTCTTATGACCCAATTTATTAACTTGAAGACCTTCGCTACTGATCGTACTATATAGCTCTGACTTGCCCTTCAGCTAGCTTCATTGCGACAGCTATATTATAGGCATTAATCCAAGACAAGTTATCTTCTGATAACAGTTTCCGTTTGATTGACTCTGAGCTTAGTCCACAAGCAAATTTATCTCTGAGAGCATCTTCGAGAAAATTTCCAAATGAACAATACTCTGACATTTTTTTTTAATTTGGAAGTGTAGGACTTTATGTGTTCATTAGGCTGCTGGTGTGCACCACAAAATTTGTACCTTTCTCCGATTGTTAACCTTTTCGAACTAAAGTGATTTATGAGGGCTGAGTCATAAGTCTTGACCTATACGTTCAATATACGAATTTATATCAGACTGATCTGAAGAAAACGGCTCAATACTACTGACAAACGACATTTTTTTTTATCTTTTTTTTTTGAAACTTGGCCCTTTGTCAATTTTTTTTAGGTTTCTGGGGGATACGACAAACGACTGTTTTTCAGACTAATCACTCACAGACTATGATGAACTGGACCAGACTTATGGCTGCATGGACTCAACTTCCGACGTCGCCAATTAATGTTGTGAATTTTTAGTAAAATACGAACGTTGGCAATGGAGGCCATACTGACCTCTCGATCTCCTTGTGCAGTTTCTGTAGCGAAATAGATGAAACTACCAAGCATATAGTCTACGAATGTGACGCCCTTGTCAGTCGCAGACTGCAATACCTCGGGTACAGGTTTCTGGAACCTGATGGAATGTCCGACCTGAGCGGATCTGTACCTTTCTTAAAAGTTGGTAAGATGGGGCTGCACCAAGAGGGGGAACTGCAATGGGCCACATGCGCGTCTACGTGCTGCCTGTAAAGGCTTCCCTTTCGAATCAATCAAATCAATCAATCAATCAATGGAGGAACATGGAGACTATTCCAACACATTTTTGAATTCTCGCCAGCGAAGAGACTTTGCAAAACAGAAAGACCACGAATGGAATCCAGAACTAATAGAGTGGAGAAGAATAATAAAGAAAAGAAACAGAAATCATATCTATCTATTATCCAAATTGCAAAATACACAAAATTCAATCTTCTCCTTTCTATAAAAATGTAACTTGTTAAGTAACTTATACCTTCCATTCCAGGTATTTCCGTAGCCAGCAGTATATTCACTATAACAACGATGGCAATCGACAGATACTTAGCAATAATACGACCTTTTGGCTTACGACACCGATGTTTCAATAAAACTTCGACGATCGTGATGATTTTCGTTTTGTGGGGACTGTCGCTCGTTTTATTTCTGCCAGATCTCTGGATAGCCGGGCTTACTGTGGTTCCGGTTATGAGCGACGACGTAGCCCTGTGCCGTATGGATTACAGCAATTTTCCAGTGCCAGAAAACGTTATCGGCATTGTTTGGTTTATATTTATGTTCGCGATACCCGGTAAGTGGAATTCTATTGTTGGTAAGCTATGCGATAAGTATTTGTTGCTGAAATATTTTGTGGTAAATACTAAAGGACATATTTAATTAAAAAATGGCTAGACATATAAAAAGTGATTAATGGTGGCGTTTTGTTTTTAGTATGTTTTGAAAAATGGACTCAGATAATAAATGATTATGAATAAAGACAAAAATAATTGCTTGTAAATATAATTCTCTTTAAGCGCAAGGGTTAATCAATAGTCTTTTATTCGGAAAACCACTAAAATATTTACGTAACTCTACCATAAATTTGTCCTTTTAATCAACTCTAATTGAATTAATCGACGAAGTTAGCTTTTATTGGCCAACGTCCTAAACAGACGCACGTTTTATGGCTATTATTTCACTCGGGTAGTACGATAGCTGACATAAATTCGTGAGAAGAGAATATTTTAGGTAAATAAAGGAGAAAAGTAATAAATTTGAGAAACAGGATCGTATTGACATGAATAAATAACTTATATTTTGTGTATCATATGTTGATGAATTAAGAATAAAAAGAGCTTTTTGAATTCGGTTCATCCTTCAAAAATACCTTTTAACAAAGTTTTGGGTTTTAATTGTGCGCCTGTTATCCGGTTAAATAGTTAACGTGATTGGGCATAATTTTGTCTATTTACAAGGAGAAAAGGCCATAACCTTACTCATCTTGCTCCTTCTGATTGGTTCATGTTTAGAATCCTTCTGATTGGTTCATGTTTAGAATCCATTCAAGCGATGCATAGCTTTATTGCTAACAGTTCCTTTCTTGTAATGCAGGGCTTGCTAAGCACTCTACTGTAGTATTCAATGACCCTTTCTATAGCTTAATATAGGACTAGAACGTAGAGCTGCCTTTAGCCTCCCAAAAGCTACGTCACAGTCGGTGGACCAATTCAAAATAGCTTTATCTTCGATAAGTTTAGGCAACGGCGTTGCTACTTCAACAAATCCTTTCACAAATCGTCTGTTGTATGTACAAAACCCAAGGAATTTTTTGAGTTTATGCTTTATCATTTTTCTATTACTAACACATCATCCAGGTAGACAAGGCATACTTTCCACGTAAGTCCTCGCAAAAGTAGCGGAGGCATAACAGAGTCCAGAAGGTTATGAGGTTCTATACTAGAAATCTCCTCCTCGGTTGACTTAGGAGAAACCGATAGATAGATAGATACTAAATGCAAAACTTATCGGTGTCTTATATTTAGGAAGAACATCAATACCAAGAACACATTTACTTTTTGATATTTACAATAATCCAAGCCTTCCTTGAATATCTTCAAACTTCCCGCAATCAACGTGTCAGCTGTTTTTTCCATTTGCTTTAAATGGTCCTAAAATAAAATTGTATATTACATACCGAGGTGGAAAGTGTTTCATTACTGTCGAGAGATTTAAGTTAGACCGAGGCGCAGCCGAGGTCTAATTTTTACCTTCATCAAGTAAGGGAACTCTGGGATTCCCTTAACTCGGTAATACACTAAAAGTATGACACACATTTTATTGTCAAGAAATAACTCAATAAACTTTTTTCATAGGTTGCATCATGACAGTTGCCTACATTTTAATGGGAAAAACATTGTGCTCGTCTTTGCCTCCTTTCGACAACGAATCTACCTGCGCTCAACAAGTAAGTAATGAACTTCCAATTATAATTTCCAATGATTCTTTGTAGTTGTCCAAAATGTATATTGATGTTTTACCTTTTCTTTATACCCAAAAAAATGCCTTGAATATGTCAGTCCTTGCCTATTATGTCTGTCGTTTTAATGAATTCATGAATTGCAGACCCTAACATAAGAAAAGATTTTTCAGTGAATGGGCAGCAGGAGAAGAAAAACGATTTCGTAAACTTTTTATGTTAAAAGAAGAGGCACTCGAGCGAAAATTGATCCTATTATATTTTTTCAGACAACGATGCTTTTATTTTGTATTAGGTATTTGTATTTGGATGAATGAATAGGGTGCTATACGTGTTTTATATGTTATGTTAGTTTTATGAGTGCTGGAATAAAATATTGTTAGTGAATATCGAAGATTAGGTTACATTAAAAAAAATTTGAAAGAGTTAGCTTTCCGTCTGTTCGTCACTGCGACCCTGCGGATCTATTGTGACTCACTCCATATCATAGCTTCGTCCAGTTTTATCTCTCTGATCAGACTCCACAACCTTGACAATGGCTCCCTGATGTAGCTTGCTGCTTCTGATATAGTTGAGCCAAGACATCGAAAGCGCACTCTCGACAGGCCTTCACAGTGAAACAAGACTTGAGTTGCCGTTTCCTCCTCCTCTTGACAGAACCTACAATCTGTGTTTTCTTCCACTTCCATTAGACTTAAATGTCCATTCAGTAGGCAGTGGCCTGTCAGCAAACACTCCATTATTCTTACAGATCATGGCTTAGTACGTCTGCTGTTAGTTTAGCCGATGGGGTTTTCAAGAACTTCTTGGTTTGTCTTTGTCCCAGTATGTATGTCCACCATTTAAGGGGATTCTTTTTTCACCCATTTCTTAATGGATGCTTTGGCAATAGGGTTCAGGTCCCGTAATTCGCATTGACGAGCCTTCTCGGGCTATTCTGCCAGCGCCTTCATTGCCTGATGGCCTTCATGCCCTGGTACTAATGATAGCGTCACCCTATTCTGACTCCCTATGTCGATGAATGATTTGTGAGAATCTAGAATTAACTTTGAAGATTTTGTTGTACTACAGATCACGATCCTTTTATCGCGAATCTTCCTCTTCTTTATTTCTATTGCGCAGTGTTCTATTGCTGTTAACTCCGCTTGGATCACTGTTACTAGGTTTCCCATAGGTATCGGAGCTTCAGTTTCCGTCCTAGGTTCGTAGATTCCAGCTCCTTGACAAATCTATAATAGGTTGTGTGTCCGCCTATTATGGCTAATTGGTCTTGCAATAGTCTGTACGTGTCGGACCGTGCTTCGCCCTGTATGTATATTTGTCGCCTTATCGCCTCCACTTGTCTGGTTCTGGTCCACCATCACAGTCTACCATACTATTGATCCATATGCGATCATTGGCCTCACTACCCCTATATATAGCCACAGGGTCATTTTCGGGCTTAGGCCCCAGTTTTTTCCGCACATTCTTCTGCATTTTCCAGAAGCCCTAAGTGTGGTCTTCCGAATATGCGATTTCCAAGTGAGTTTCTGGTCAAAAATTGCTCCGAGTTATTTTACTTCTTTGGAAAAATTTAGTTTCTCCCTATTTATCACCAGTGCTTTCAGTCCATTGAGGACTCGTCTCTTGGTGAACGGGACAACTGTTGTTTTTCTTGGAGTAGCTGTAAGCTTCTTGGAGTAGCCGTAAGCTGCTCCTGTTCGCACCAGTTTTCCACTGTTTTGAGGGCCCTTTGGCTTCTTTTTCATAGTGTGTTGGTAAATTTGCCTCGTACCACAATCGTTAGGTCGAGGATGATGATTACTTATGTGCAAAGTTACATTCGAATGGACTCTTGAGTGTTCAGCAAATGGTAAATATTTGGTTTCTCAAAAAACTTATCGGTTCGAATATTTACACAAGCTACGAATAACTCAAGCATAAAATTAGGAAAAAGAGAGCTTGTTACTTTGAAAAGGTGAAAACTTTGCTCACTTTACCCATTTTACTAATGTTCCTAATTATAAAATGGCTATCGCAGCCTCTCAAATTGTGGAAGACCAGAGCATCTATGAATAATTTAAGAAACTGTAAATTGCAGATTGCGTGGGCGAATCCTCCAATTCCTCCAAAATCCTCCATCATGGTCATTAACACACAATCACATATTATTAATTATTATCTCCATGATAGAAAGTAAAAGATGAGTGAAATTTCTGCAAGGCCTGATTATATTGTAACTTGGAAAAAGGTTTTTGTAACTAAGAAAAGCCCAAACCCACACATTCCGACTGTCATATTATATTAATTATCCATCATTCTATTCAATTTCAGCGAAATCGTGTGATGAAATCAAGAAAACGCGTGGCCTGTATCCTCCTATTGCTGGCCGTCGTTTTTGCCGCCTGCTGGTTACCTTATCACATAATGAACTTAATCGTTAACGTGGGCGGACAGCAGTCCGCTTCATGGTCACAAGAACTAGGAATGTACCTTTTGTTGCTGGGACACGCGAACTCGGCTTTGAATCCTATTATTTATTGTGCGCTGTCGAGGAACTTTAGAAACTCCATTAGGAATTTGCTCAAGTTCAAAATTACGTGCAAGCGGAAGAAGAATAATATGAATAATGTGAGTATGATTATAATATTTTGGATTTTGATTTGGAAATGTTATAGATATTTTTATAGGAAAATATATAATGATTTGGATATCGGATAAATAGAATTTCAGAGTTACTGTGATTGCTTTTCAAATGGCCTCACAACGAATATCCGATATCCTTCTCTGATATCGTCCTGCGAAAATCGAATGTCTCTTTAGTCAATTTTTCTCAAATGTTGGTGCATTCAAATATCCAGAGGTATCGATTGATAGTTCGACTTTGCCTTTTGTCAATTCCGCCGCATTGTGGATTTAGGAGAAACGTACTATTCTCAGAAACCAAGTTTTGGTATACTTGGCCCTTACATAATTACAAATGTGCAAGCTGGAGAAGATTAAAGTGTTGCATAGTTCCAAGGCTTTCAAGAAAAACAATGGTGTAATGCACGAGTAAATTTAAGTATCGAACTTTCCTCAAACTTTTCGATTAAATTTGTTATCGCGCCAGAGTTCGATGGTGTAGTTTTCGAACCAAATTCTTCACAAACTTTTCCAGATTCGAGCTGGTGAAAATCTAATTTCTACTTTACACTCTCAGTGCAAATTTTGTAGTATCAGAAACTTGTAAAATGTTGTTGTATAATAAATTGCTACTAAATTTCACTTACTTAAGTTTGAAACATTAAAAAAATTTCAACTGTGCCAGGTGCTTTAGGGTCATGTCTTTAATTAAAACTATAAATAATTCTCTTGAAGGTATTTCAATTTAAAAAAAAATCCTTAGGATCAATTAGAGTCTCTAGACTGTCATAATTAAATTATCCGGGTCGGACCCTTCAAGATTTACGGTTCCCTAGAGCGTTTACGTGAATTCGCTTTAATAATATTTTTGTTACAGTGGGCGGCCGACAGTTCGAATTCGGGCTTTCAAGTTCAAGCCAGTAACAAGGCGCTGCCTCTTATTTCGAATCAGAACAATTTCGGCATAAGCAGGAGACAATCTTCGCAGAAAACTACTAAAACGTGTGCCGTGTAAGAATTGTATTATTTTGGAGTTTTATGTAAAAAAAAATATATAGCAGATGGGGAAATAAGACGCGTTTATTGTAAATAATGTCAACATAAATGTCTGAATTTTTGTAAAATTGAAACCTTAGGTGTTCATTAATGTTGTTAAGGCGGTTACACACGGGCGTGGATGTCGCTAGAAATTTTGTATGCATACTTGGAGTGCTGTATCAAGACACAATTTCGAGTTTTGTGCAAGCGTCTGTACAACGGTGACATGCACGTTGTTGTTTGCACATTGATGCATGCACACATTTGTATCAAGCTATCCACGCCCGTGTTTAACCGCCTTTAGAGTCTACATTACTAGTTACATAAATGTTGCCTAATAATGAATATCATTGTCGGTGTAATTTCAATTAAATGTGTTATTAATTTATATAGTTTTCAAGAATGACCATAAGTAATATTCCGTTATACCAAATACATTAAATGTTTTAGACAAAATTTTATTGTTAGGAATATTTCATTATTTATTCTATTTATTTAATTTGTGTTAGATTTTTTTAGTTCTTGTTCAAAGAAAAATGTTTTTACTTTAATAAATGTATATAAAATTATAGTCCTTTACTTATTTGAATTCAAGCTTGACTACTTACTGTCACTTAATTTTTATTCAGCTTTACCTCGAACAAGAATAGATCCTCAAAACTTCATTTTTGCGCCCTCGGTAGTTTTTGAGCTAGAAATTCCAAAATAGAGGCTTATCAATGTTTATTTTGGTCTGACTTAGAAAAGTCATAACTTTATTATTAGCGGTTCGATTATCTTGAATTTTTGATATGTTTCAACTCAAACCTTCAAGTATAGATCCTCAAAATTTCATTTTTGAGCCTTCGGTAGTTTTTAAGTTAAAAATTCCAAAATACAGGCTTGTCAATGTTTAATTTACCCAATTTAGGAAATTCATAACTGGATAGAAAGTTCAGGAATACAATCCGATGTTTGTGTGGCGATGCTTTATCCGTTAGTAGAGTCCTGTTAAGGAGAAGATCTGATACGAGCTTGGCATCAAAGTCAGCTTTACTCAGCCGCTGGTAGTTTAAAGAAGCGTCTTGACACCTTAATGGATTTTCTCAGACAAGAAGTGGTGAATGAAGACATAATTTCTCTTGCTGTATCCAGTTTTAAAGATAGGCGGAAGCCTGGAGATGAACACATAAGTAGTAATACTATTCCAACAGCGTCTGAATTGTTTATTAAAGGAACCTCACGATGTGTTTTTGCACAGGATTATATTTTTCTGACCAATGTGAAGAAGCCTTAAATCTCACTTTTGCCGAACGAAAACAAAAAGTTGTCAGATGTTGCTTGTTGTCATTCCTGTATTCCTGTACATGGAGGTGTCGTCGTTTAGAAGCAAAATATCCTACCTAACAAGGAAAACATGCAAAGTTTTGTGCCCGAAAGAAAATGGTAAGTCCTCAAACTCCAATGACACGAATGCTAAAAACGAAAATTCCAAAACCAGTGAACAGACTCTCAGTTTCCACACCTATCCCGAAGTTTTTCTGCAAACGATGGTTGTTGAATTGAAAAGAGAGAGAGAAAATCACGTAGAGTGAGACTTCTTATCGATACTGGTTCACACAAGTCGTATATAACAAAAAAGTTGGCTGAAGAAGTAGGCTACAAACCGATTAGAGAAGAACAGCTAGTTCGGAGGCAGTCAAACCGACTGTATATGCTGCTGCATATGCTACAAAGTTCGTCTGTATAGTCTAACTGAAAATTACTGTTGTAATTTTGAAGTTTCGGATTACCCACTGATTTGTAACTATGTTAGTTCCGTTACAAAAGGACCCTGGTTACAAAAGGAACAAGAAGCATTGGTCATGGAACATTTTTTGTCAACAGTGAAGCAAAAAGATAATAAACGATTTGAAGTAAGTGTGCCGTGGCTTGAAGGTCACTCACCTCTGCCATCTAATTTTTATTTGCCATACAAAAGACTACTTAACACCACGAAAAAGTTGAACAAAGATAATTTTTACAATGTTTATGATGAAGTCTTTGATAATTGGTTAGCAGATGGAGTGATAGAACCATTACCAGATAATAAAGAACCGTTTGAAATTTTATGTCAGTCTGGTCATTTTTTGCCACACGATTCAGTTTACAAACCTAGTAGTGCCACAACACCTGTACGACCTGTTTTTGATGCTTCATCAAGAGAAAAAAGTCAACCATCTCTGAATCAATGTTTGGAAATGGGTATCAATCTTATTGAATTGATCCCTTCCATGATTTTACATTTTCGAACAGAGAAGATTGGAATAACTGCTGATATAAAAAAGATATTTCTTCAGATCAGCTTACAAGAAAGTGATCGAAATTTGTTAATGTTCCTGTGGTATGATGAAAACAACTTAAAAATATTTAGACATACAAGAGTGGTTTTAGGAGTATCATGCAGTCCTTTTCTATTAGACTACCACCTTAAGGAAACTTTTGAAAAATCAGAACGCGAAGAAGTAGGTAATCTACAGTCGTGATGTTATTCCTAAATTAATGAAGTCTTTTTACGTTGATAATGTTCCAGCAAGCGTATCAAGTGGAGAAGCTGTAAACCAATTCATTGAACGTCTTCGTCAATTTTAGCTAATAGTTAATTTGAACTTAGAGGGTGGGAGTATTCTATATCAGAGTATGTTGAAGTTGAAGAGAGAAGCAACATTCTTGGACTTGTTTGGAACAAAAATTTAGACACTTTGATACTCGATATACGAGAGGTAACCAAACGAATTATTTTATCCATAACTCATAAGTTGTTTGACCCTATCTATCGGCTTTTCGTGTCCTGTTAAGTTGATTTCAGAACTTTTACTCCAAAAGACATGGTCTTTGTTTTTATGATGGGACGGTGAGGTCACTGGAGAAATTCGAGAAATATTTTTGAAATGGCTACAAGATTTGCCACACTTGACCTATGTCAAAGTTCCTCGATGGATAGCTACAGATTTTAAAGAATCGACTAGTCAGTCTTTACATGTTTTCTGTGATGCAAGCCAACGCTATGCAGCTTGTATTTTTTTCAGGACAGAAGTAGATAAAGGTCAAGTTTGACTAACTGAATCAAAATCTAGAGTAGCACCTGTCGAGAAGTTCACTATACCTTGTCTTGAACTTTTAGCTGCTACCATGGTGTACGATTATTTAAAAACTTTTACAATAATCGCTGTTTAAAACTTGAGGTTTTCTTTTGGTCAGATTCATCAACAGTTTTATATTGGATTAAGAGAGAAGACCAATGGAAACCGTTCATCTGGAATCGCGTGGAAGAAATAAAAAAGTTCACCAAACCTGAAGATTGGTACCATGTTCCTGGTCAATTGAACCCAGCAGATCTTCCTTCAAGAGGCTGTTCTGCGAAAGCATTAGCTAAAAGAAGATGGTGGGAGGGACCTCGATGGGGACTTGATCCAATTTCAGAGTGGCCAAGTCAAAATTTTGAGTGCGACGGAGAAGAAGATCGCAAGGAAAAAAGAAAGACTGTGGTTTCTTCTTTGATTGTAACCAAAGATTTTTCATGGTATTACCAGTATTTGTCAAAATTCAACCAAATACTCAACATGATTGCGTGGATGCTATGATTTATCAATAGCTGCAGAAAAAAGAATAACGAAAACAAGAACTTTTTGACACCAAAGGAATTAGAAATCTCAAAACAGTTGTCATTCGTTTTATACAAGAATGTCCGTTTATCGATGAAGACAGGTTAATCAGGGTACGAACTGAGATATCAGACAGAATTGATACAGAAAACTATCGCATGCCGTATGTTTTACCCCCAAATCATGTTGTTGTTAAACGTCTTATTTTCGAAGAACACAGTAAAAACTACCATGTTGGTGTACAAGGCTTGATGAGCATTTTACTGGAAAACTATTGGATTTTTCAATGCAGACGCACAGTTAAATGAGTTATTGATGGATGTACAGGGTGCTGCAATTTGGAGTGTTTCAACAGGAAAAACATACTTCCAGATCAGATAGAGGAAAATTGACATAGACGTCATGGGATCGATTTTTGAGAAACGTCAATTGTCAAAAACCGTATCACGATATCTTCAATGGTACCATTGATACAGGGCGATTTTCGATTTTTTCCTATTATGAAAAATAGCTATACATTTTTTATTTATCAACTCTTTTTATTTCTGTAAAAACATTATGAAGACACTTTTTTGAGCACAATCCAGCGGCAGACTCATTTTTTTTCTATATCGCTCCGATTTCGAGATATCGACCAAAATCCGATATTTTCAAATGTAACACCCTATATATTAATAGCTCATTGGATAGCTCTGTTTGTGCTGATTTCAATAATATAAAGTTCGATAGGTTTATCTCTAACAGTTTTCGAAAAAAAAAATTATATCTGTTTTTGTCGTAAGGACCAATGTGTTAGAAAAGGATTTTATATGTGTGAGGAAAGTGAGGAAGGTCTCTTTCTAACACATTGTTTCTTATGACTGGAACAGATATAATTTGTTTTCTCCAAAACTGTTAGCAGCGGCGGATTTAGGATTCCTTCTAGGGGGGGGGGCGATCCATCAGGGCCTCAGGCTCAGATAAGAAATAATAAAAAAACGACTTAAATATACAGAGTGGCAAAAAAGTCGCGTATAATACCTGTAACTTTCTAATTACCTCGTATACGAAAAAGTGACCTTAATGAAAGTTGCTCAGTAAATTAGGGACATAAATCTTCCATATTTTTTGCTCGGTATCCGTATCGGTATCGTACTGCGCATGTGCAGAAGCGATACGGAGGCCGAGATACCGTACGTACAACGTAACGTTACGGCCCTCTCGCGGTATCCGTATCGGTAACGTATCTTGACATTCCTGACGCATGTGTCAAATTTCAAATGAATATAACCTCCCTTTTCTTCCGGGTTGATTTAATTTGTTTAGTTTTTACTTTCTTGAGTTTCTTGTGTTTAGTGCTTCTCTATCGCAAAAAAAATAACAATTTTAAGGTTAGATATAAAAACGCCGAAGTTTTGAGACAAAAATATCTAGGTTATGAAATGCGTTTACGTTTACCGGAACAGGGAGCGCTTCAACAGCCTTTTCGCTTGTCAACGTATCTAGTTGCGTTACGGATACCGATACCGATGAATTATTTCAAGTAGCTTTATGTCCCTAATATTTCCCACAATTCTACTTAAACGCATTGCCTGTGTCACTTCTGGTTTGTTTGCTATCTAGACCAACTTTCTTTTTTTCAAATAAAACACCCTGTATGTGATTGCATATTTGGATTCTACGTAAAATTCTGAGCAGATTTCATGTGATATACCCTATACCTAAGTTCAACTGTTTTGGAAATATTGACAGTTGAACATTGACTTTTTGCAACTTTGACAGGCTGTAAAACCTGAACGGTTAATTTCAGAGGAAAACCGATTTCACATTCCTATCTTAGATTTTCA